AGCTATTACCAAACAAGTTGAAAGCCTCCTTGCCAAAGGTGCCCTCATCAAGTGCACATCCCCATGTAACACACCACTTTTCCCTGTTAAAAAGCGAACTGTCAAGGGTCAACCCGACCAGTACCGCATGGTGCAGGACCTCCGTGCTGTTAATGAAGTAACCATAAAAGACACTGCTATTGTTCCAAACCCTCACACCCTCTTGTCCCAAGTCCCACCAACTTCCACAATATTCACTGTAGTGGATCTAGCTAATGTCTTTTTCAGTGTCCCCCTGGACCCTTCCTGCCGCTTTCTCTTCGCCTTCACTCATGAAGGACAACAATATACCTGGACTGTTATGCCCCAGGGGGCTCAGAATTCCCCCACACAGTTTGCTCATGCCATGTCCCTGGTTCTGGATCCCTGGCAGAAATCTGATTTGGATGTTGTCCTGCTTCAATATGTTGATGATCTCCTTCTCTGTGCTCCTGATTTGCCCATTGCAGAGCGTGACTCAGAAGATCTCCTGTGTTTCCTCACTGCAGCTGGTTGCAAAGCTTCAAAGTCAAAGCTACAATGGTGCCGGCCCTCTGTGGTCTTCTTGGGACATTGCCTTTCCCCTGGCACCAAACATCTAACTTCTCAACGTGTGCAAGCTATTCTGCAACTCCCATTACCTGCGACACATCAGTCTCTTCATGCCTTTTTGGGTCTTATCACATACTGCAGGTCCTGGATACCCGAAGCATCAAAGCTCATGCAGCCACTCTATGATGCCATCAGGAGTGAGCCCTTTCACCTTACTGAAGAAACTATCTCCTGCTTCCACAATCTGAAAAGAGCTATTGCTTCTGCACCTGCTTTGGGCCTACCCAACTACCAACTTCCTTTCAATTTGTTTGTCTCTGAAAAGTCAGGACATGCTTCCGGAGTCCTTACCCAGAAACATGGGTCAAGGCAACGACCTATTGGCTATTTTTCCTGCATGCTTGACCCTGTTGCGAGGGGTAGCCCCTCTTGCCTCAGAGCGGTGTTTGCCGCCAGCGCCCTCCTGGACAAGACCAATGATTTTGTTCTTGGCCATCACCTCACGGTGTTGGCCCCTCATGACATTACTGCAATCCTGCAACAAGTTCAACCTAAGCACCTTTCCTCCCAACGTCACCTCCGCCTCCAAACCTCCCATCTTCTACCTGACAATGTGAAACTCCAGAGATGTATTTCCCTGAACCCAGCCACTCTTCTGCCACTTCCCAAGGGGGGAATGGTGCATCACTGGTATAGCCTGGATATCAACCCAGAGGTTCGAGCAGATTTGCAGCTGCCTACACTTGCACCTCCACATGATGAACAATCAGTGGCCCTACTTCACTGTACCTTGTGGTTTAAGGACGTACCAGACCCTGATATGAACTATGAGGAAGAACTATTCCAGCTCAAAGAAATTCGAATTACCCTGACTGACTTATTCTGGGACCCCACAGGTACCATGCTCATCTTAGTACTTCTTCCAGAGAATGTAACACATCTCTATCATCATTGGGAAACAGCTATCCCACACATATCTCTCACCAGATCCCCCGACATTTCATGGAAAGACCTAGGCCCGATGGCCAAAACCTGGAGCCAAATGACCCAAGAACAACTGACTTCTACGGGGATCAACAAAAAGACTATTAATTACTGTACAGCAGGGTACCCAAGGTACCACACAGAAGCCTGTGAAGACCCACTCACCACAGACTGCGACCTAGATATTCCTCATGATTGTTTTGAACAAATGAAAATGGAAACTACACACCTACCAACTGTCTATGAAGCTGCATTACTCAACCCGGACCAAACACTATTTGTGGATGGGTCAAGATTTGCTGATGAACAGGGACAATATCACACTGGGTATTACAAGCAGCTGCCCTACAACCAACTAAGTCTGCACAAGAAGCCGAGCTAATAGCTCTAACTGTGGCCTGCAAATTGTCTGAAGGTCTACGTGTCAATATTTACACAGATTCAAGATATGCCCTGGGAGTAGCACACGATTTTGGCCTAATTTGGAAGACCAGAGGATTTCTTACGGCCACCGGCACCCCAATAAAACATGGGGCAGCCATTGCAGAACTGATGGATGCATTGGAACTTCCAGCAGAGGTGGCAGTACTGAAAGTAAAAGCCCACGGAAGACTAGACACAGAAGAAGCACGTGGCAACCACTTAGCTGATCAGGCAGCTAAGAAAGCAGCACGGCAAGGATGGGAAGTGGACAGAAGACTATGCAAACACTACCTACAGATCTTAGGCTTCTGAAGGAACAACAAGCTGCTGCTACTCCCCAGGAGAAACAAAGTTGGAAGAATAAAGGAGCTGTACTCCGTGATGATGTTTATACCATCAATCTCAAGTTCTGCTTACCCAGAAGTATGTACTCAGCGGTGGTCCAATGGGCCCATGGGCCAGCTCACCTGTCGAAACTCCTGATTAACTCACTGATTGACAAGTATTTTGAAGCACCAGGCATTACTACCTTAACACAGAATCACTGTAAATCTTGGACGTTATGAATATGCATTGGTCATAGTGGACATGTTTTCGGGATGGCCAGAGGCCTTTCCAGTGACTAATCTCACCGCGAGGACTACAGCCAAATATCTTTTGACAGAAATTGTCTGCCGCTATGGAGTTCCAGAAGTAATTGAAAGTGACCAAGGGACCTCCTTCACTGCCTCGCTAACACGGGAAGTCTGGTCAGCACTGGGGGTGACCCTTGCATTCCACACACCATACCACCCACAGAGTAGCGGTAAGGTAGAACGCATGAATGGCACTTTGAAAGCCAGAATGCTTAAAATGTCACAAGAAACTAACATGCCCTGGCCCGAGAGTCTCCCACTAGCGTTGTTTAGTGTGAGGTACACTCCCAGAGGAAAATATAGCTTGTCACCTTATGAGATTTTGTTTGGTACAGCACCCAGGCTAGGTTGCTACTTTCCCCAACAGCTTCAGATTCAGTCAGATGCTATGGTAGACTATGTGACTGCCCTCTCACATGCCTTGACCAAGATACATGCCCAAGTGTTTTCTTCTATTCCAGATCCTGAGTCGAATACAGGTACACACAAGCTGCTTCCGGGTGATTGGGTTATGGTCAAGAAGTTTCTCAGAAAACACACCCTAGAACCGAGATTTGATGGTCCTTACCAAGTGCTTCTGATTACCGCAACGTCAGTTAAATTAGCTGGAAAGAGTTCTTGGATACACGCTTCACATTGCAAGAAAGTGCCTGCTCCAGAAGAAACTGATCCTGTTGAAATATGAATTTATTATGTGTCTTGTGTTTTCTTATGCTGCTACACTTTGCCTGGGCCCAACAAGTGGCCATAACCAAAGATGATCATGTTTACACTTTCTGGTACAATTCTTCTAATACTGATGTAGCTACATACACCTTTGACTACTGTGACATAGTTACTTGTACATTTCCACAAACACAATATGCAGCCATATACAAGGACATACCTAACAAAAAGGATCCATACATTTGTGTGACTGGAGGAGTTTGGGGACACCATTGTAGTTCATGGAAAGCTGCCGGGTGGAACACAGGTAGACCATGGGGCTACATACCTCAAGTTGCACTGGACAGACTTGACAAAGACGGGAAGCCCTTACTTTCTAGAATGACGCTGAGTAAACCCATAGGATCAACTCCCATTAAACTTACCCTGAATATAGAACACCCTAGCCCAAGGGATGCAGGGGAATATGTGATGGGAATGTACTGGAAGGGAGGTGGCTCACATAATGCATTGGGGACATTTTACCTACAAGACATGCTCACCTCCCCAGATTGGGTAGGAACCACTCACATGATCATTAACCCATTAAAACCACATATTAAGACCCTACATGACATGGTAGCTATAGCTAACCCCACATTTGAAGATACCATGGCAGTAGAGACTGGGTTTTCAGACACTAATTTGTGGCTAGAATGGGTGAGGTACAACGCCAACTCACATAATAAGACTAACTGTTATGTATGTGGAGGAGCCAGGCCCCATCTGGGCACAGTACCTCTGAGCCTACCCCCTGAAGTAGAATTATGTGTTCTGAGTCTTTATGCACAATCCGCCACCAACTCCTCAACATGTGAATCTTGGAAGAAAGTTTACCCAATCACTCATGGACATGTGAAACCACCTGACGGAGTCACCATCTACCCAGGTAATTACACATGCTATTCAATACCTAAGAACACTGGGTTGTATTTGGGCAAATTCCCATCAGGATACTGCTCAATTTACCATAATCCACCTGCATCACTGCTAATGAACCACACAAAGACAATCGGGGATATCTATTGGTTATGTGGTGACAAACAATTGAGGTCCCAATTAACTGGGCAATCGTGGGGGGAGTGTGCCCTAACCAAAGTCATAATGCCTATCCACATTATTCCAGATGGTAGTCATAACACGTTAAATCTTACACATGCACACTCTAGAACCAAACGAGAGGCTCCTATCCGAGGGAGCTTCGACCCCCACGTGTATATTGATGCCATAGGTGTGCCAAGGGGGGTGCCTAACGAGTTCAAAGCAAGAGATGAAGTGGCTGCAGGATTTGAATCTTTAATTCCAATGATAACTGCTAACAAAAATGTCAATTGGATTAACTACATCTATTATAATCAGCAGCGCTTTGTTAACTACACAAGGGATGCCCTACAGGGCCTAGCAGAACAGTTACAAGCCACTACTCAAATGACATTTCAGAACAGAATGGCCCTAGATATGATTTTAGCTGAGAAAGGGGGAGTATGTAAAATCCTCCCTGAGACCATGACATGCTGCACATACATCCCAGACAACACTGGGCCCAATGGTAAGGTGACTATGGCCATAGAGAAGCTAGATAGTCTTGCAGACGAACTAAAGAAAAATTCAGGAGTCACTGACACTTGGGACAGATGGTTTGGATGGATGAATGGTTGGCAAAGGACCCTCTTCCAGGTGGGAACAGCTGTTCTCATAATGGTCATCATCTTCTTATTTTTAACCTGTTGCATACTCCCTTGCATACAGAAGTACTTACAGAAAGCGGTAGATAAGACTGTAGATGACGTGACCCCTACTTTCCTACATCAAGATATCACAGACCTTGAAGATGACACTCCACATACACCCCTACGATCACATCAGTTCAAACAGACGACTGCTTTCCTGTAGGGACAGTGTAGGGAAAGCGTCTGTCTTAACAGGTGAGTCTCACTTGTGGAGATGTGGTGGACTAGCCACTGCGGGTTACCCGCGGAGTGAAGTATTCGATGCTTGTTAAGACAGATAGGTTGCAGGCAACTAGGGACATATTAGGGACAGTAGCAGTTGTTATGGTAAATAGCCATTTTAGGGGGGACTGTTGTGGAAATAAGGTCTGCACATATTTCCTAGTTAGTGAAAATGTCTATTTACTCATTTCACGATATATCATATATAAAGCTGAGCACACATGTTTTAATCAAAATGGCTGCTAGAAGCTTCTAAACCCTCCTTCCCCCCCCTTCCCTTCTTAACACCAACTAACTACCTCGTGCAGCAAGATGGCGCCGGGAAACCGTGGGAGACCCTCATGGTCCCGGTGACATCACTCCAGTAGGCAGAGCATTAGAGCAACCACTTAACACCTAACCAATAATTGATGTATTATTCTATGTTATCTCTGACAATGCTTATGATGTAATTTTGCTTTAAAAGGGACCTGCCGTCCCCTCTGAATAAACTTTCCTCAAGTTATTCAACAACCTGGAACCTGTGTCTGGTGTGAATTACTTCAGGGAGCGTGCACGCATTGTTTCATTGATTTGGCCAGGGGCAGATACACAAAGAAATAATCAATGTATTGATTGATTTTTCCATTTCAACAACAAACAAGAGTAAATAGTCAATCAAGTTCCCTTATATGGTGTACCGGTATGTTTCTTTCTCCCCCTCACTGCTCCTATGTGTCCATTTCTCCCCTTTTCTTCCCAGTCTCTATCTTCCGCCTCTGTCTCTTTTTCCCTCCCCCTGTGTCTCTCTCTTGCACATGTTTTATTATCCCCTATCCCCTGTGTGTCTCTCTTCCCCTCCCTTTCGTGTGTCTCTATGTCTCCTTCTCCCCCTCCCCTTGTGTCTCTCTATTCCCTTTCTCCCGAGGCTGACCTTGCACGTGTGAGACTGGAAATATAACGCAAATGTCTCTCTATCATGCTCCCTCACGGCACCCACAATTCCCAGCATGGACACATCTCGGAGTAAACACTACTCTATGATGTGGCTATGCTATGCATTGTGGGAGCCGCGAGGGAGCATCATTCGGTAGTTTTGTCTGCTCCCTCCTTCAGTTCGTGCTTTCTGACAGCTGCACTGCTAGGATGAACCATGCTGCCCTGACAGTGTTTAAGCCAATAGCGTGAAGGGCAGCATAGTACGCCTTAACTATGGGCCAGGGACCCTACACTATAAGGCCAGGAATACATTTGTGTTCCTGACCTTATACTGTTCCTTTAATATATAGCGTATATAGTGTATCCTTTAATATATAGTGTATATATTACACTGGCCCCCTTTTGCTTAGGGGGCAAGAGGGGGCCAGGGACCCTACACTATAAGGCCAGGAATACATTTGTGTTCCTGACCTTATACTGTTCCTTTAATATATAGCGTATATAGTGTATCCTTTAATATATAGTGTATATATCACACTGGCCCCCTTTTGCTTAGAGGGCAAGAGGGGGCCAGGGACCCTACACTATAAGGCCAGGAATACATTTGTGTTCCTGACCTTATACTGTTCCTTTAATATATAGCGTATATAGTGTATCCTTTAATATATATTGTGTATATAGTGTATATATTACACTGGCCCCCTTTTGCTTAGGGAGCAAGAGGGGGCCAGGGACCCTACACTATAAGGCCAGGAATACATTTGTGTTCCTGACCTTATACTGTTCCTTTAATATATAGTGTATATAGTGTATCCTTTAATATATAGTGTATATAGTGTATATATTACACTGTCCCCCTTTTGCTTAGGGGGCAAGACATTTGTGTTCCTGACCTTATACTGTTCCTTTAATATATAGCGTATATAGTGTATCCTTTAATATATAGTGTGTATATAGTGTATATATTACACAGGCCCCCTCTTCCTTAGGGGGCAAGAGGGGGTCAGGGACCCTACACTATAAGGCCAGGAATACATTTGTGTTCCTGACCCTATACTGTTCCTTTAATATATACACACACGCACTCACTGGCTCATACACAAATGCACTCATTGACTCTTGACACACACATTCACTGACAGAAACACATACCATACACACACTGACAGAAACACACACACTGACAGAAACACTCACATTCACTAACAGAAACACACTCACTGATAGAAACACACTCATTCACTGACAGAAACACACACGTTCACTGACAAACGTACACACTCACTGACACAAACACATACACACACATTCACTGACAGAAACACATACCGTACACACACATTGACAAACACTCACTGACAGAAACACTCACGTTCACTGACAGAAACACACACGTTCACTGACAGAAACACACACATTCACTGACACAAACACACACATTCACTGACACAAACACACACACACAAACACTCACGTTCACTGACAGAAACACATACCGTACACACACATTGACAAACACTCACTGACAGAAACACTCACGTTCACTGACAGACACACTCACGTTCACTGACAGAAACACACACATTCACTGACAGAAACACACACATTCACTGACAGAAACACACACATTCACTGACACAAACACACACACACAAACACTCACGTTCACTGACAGAAACACACACATTCACTGACACAAACACATACACACACACACATTCACTGACAGAAACACATACACACAAACACTCACGTTCACTGACAGAAATACTCACGTTCACTGACAGAAACACACACATTCACTGACACAAACACATACCGTACACACACAAACACTCATGTTCACTGACAGAAACACTCACGTTCACTGACAGAAACACACAAATTAACTGACACAAACACATACCGTACACACACACAAACACTCACGTTCACTGACAGAAACACACACGTTCACTGACAGAAACACACACGTTCACTGACACAAACATATACACACACATTCACTGACAGAAACACATACCGTACACACACAGACATAAACACTCACGTTCACTGACAAACACTCACGTTCACTGACAGAAACACATACACATACATTCACTGACAGAAACACATACCGTACACACACAAACACTCACGTTCACTGACAGAAACACTCACATTCACTGACAGAAACACATACACACACATTCACTGACAGAAACACATACCGTACACACACACAGAAACAAACACTCACGTTCACTGACACAAACACATACACACACATTCACTGACAGAAACACATACCGTACACACACACACAAACACTCACGTTCACTGACAGAAACACTCACCGTACCCTCACTGACAGAAACACAAACTGACAGAAACATACACACTCACTGACACAAACACACACACATTCATTGACAAACACACACTGACAAACAAACATACACACTGACAGAAACTCACTAGATTATAAACACTTTTGCTCTATTTCAAACACTTGGCTGCTGGGATATGATGTAATGTATCCCAGCAGCAGTTAACATAATGTGAGCTGATTGGCCCATCTGGTGGGGTGAGCTGATTGGCCCATCTGGTGGAGTGAGCTGATTGGCCCATCTGGAGGGGTAAGCTGATTTGGCCCATCTGGAGGGGTGAGCTGATTTGGCCCATCTGGAGGGGTGAGCTGATTTGGCCCATCTGGAGGGGTGAGCTGATTTGGC